AAAAGAGAGAAAAGACTCATCCTCTCCCTTCTTCTACTTCAACATGAAACTGATCATGATCAGCTGATCGGCTTTTCTGCCACAAGTCCATATTTCTTGTTTGTTTATCGCCCACTTTGCGCAGAAAGAGGAAACCAGCGGATAAACAACAGCAGCACGTTTAAGCTTGATCAGCTGTTGTTAGAATTTATTTAATATTAATTTCTAGTATCAGCTGATGTTTGCTGGAGCCACAGCTGTAAACCTGCTGGTCATGATGTCGGTTTTGAGAGGGAAACATGAAGATGAAACCAGGAGATGTCCTTACTGGATCATCAGAGCTGAACAGGTGATGGAGAAACAGGTTTACCTTTTAGGTGACATGAATGAGTTGAAGTTATGAACTGTTTCTGAGAGACAAATAACACCAGGATCCTTTTTTAGGTAGCTGACAGCTGGTAACTGTGCAGGGGCGGGTCTAGCAAAGTGTTGCCAGGGGGGCAGGTAGGGCATTAACAGGGAGAGGGGGGCACAAAGAAATACTTTTCTTTGTTATGTCATTTAAAAACTTTGAATAAATAATTATCTGAATCTTACAACAAAAGTGGTCACTGATAAATGTATAGAAATCCATTATTGTATATAGTAACTAATAAGTCTAATATACAGCCTAGTAAGCTATAGTACCATCTGTGCAGTTCTGCAATTCTGTTGAAGAAAGATGTTGAATCTATTTAAATATTGTAGAAAAATAATTGATTTCTGTTCATTTGTTTTACACTTGCATTAAATTAAAGTTGATTACATCGATTACGGGTGGGGGTGGTTCCCTAATATTTTTGCTGGGAGTTGGCAACCTTATTAGTTAGGTAGGTAAGTACTCTTTAAAATACCAGAATAGGGAGGATGGTGTAGGTTTAAATTTATTAGATTGATCAGTGTTGCTGAACTATAAGATGTTTTGGGTGCAGTGTATGTTTTGCATACAGGTACAACAGAATAGCTTCAGTCTCTTGTTTTTTTAAACTTAAGTGTGAACTTATACAAAATGCAGCAAGATATTTATGAAAAACAGTTTTATTGATTACAAAATACGCTATATTGGATTCATATCGGTATCGTAGATATCCAAAGTTATGATATCGGAATCGGACATTAAAAAGTGGTATCGTGCCATCTCTGGTATATACGAACTTTGGTTGCTTATGTTTATAGGACCACCCTGTGTCTTCCTTTTATATTTTATTTTCCTTTGCTGTAAGAGCTCTGTAACACCAAAATTTCTCATCCATGGCATAATAAAGGTTTATTCTGTTCTATTCTAAAAGTAGAATGGGAGGCAGAGCCTTCAGTTTTCAGGCCCCTCTTCTGTGGAACCAGCTTCCAGTTTGGATTCAGGAGACAGACACTATCTCTACTTTCAAGATTAGGCTTCAAACTTTCCTTTTTGCTAAAGCATATAGTTAGGGCTGGACCAGGTGACCCTGAATCCTCCCTTAGTTATGCTGCAATAGACGTAGGCTGCCGGGGATTCCCATGATGCATTGAGTTTTTCCTTTCCAGTCACCTTTCTCACTCACTATGTATTAACAGACCTCTCTGCATTGAATCATATCTGTTATTAACCTCTGTCTCTCTTCCACAGCATGTCTTTATCCTGTCTTCCTTCTCTCACCCCAACCAATCACAGCAGATGGCCCCGCCCCTCCCTGAGCCTGGTTCTGCCGGAGGTTTCTTCCTGTTAAAAGGGAGTTTTTCCTTCCCACTGTCGCCAAAGTGCTGCTCATAGGGGGTCATATGATTGTTGGGTTTTCTCTGTATCTATGAAGCGCCTTGAGGCGACTTTTGTTGTGATTTGGCGCTATATAAATAAAATTGAATTAATTTAATTTAATTGAAGAACAGGTAGTTTAAGATCTTCAATAACAAATGACTGTTTGAATAAAAACAGCAGCAGCTCTGAGACACTTTAATAAAGCTGAAAACGAGCTGCTTTCTGTGTCCCTGCAGCTGTGATGGAAGAAAAGTGTGTGACATAAATATGAACATCATCAGTGCTTCTGATCCCGGCGTCTGCACCTACCTGGACACCACCTACACCTGCGTCCCAGAGAGTCTGTTACATCTGTGATTATCAGCTAACAATCAGTCACATCTGTACATGAATCATTACAGTTTCTAATGTGATGCGTTTCTTTGTCAGTCCACAGTGTAACATGTGAAGGATCTCAGGCGAACCTTCAGTGTGGTCAGATTTATTTTTCTCATTTATTGTAACTTTAGTGGATTCATTTGATAGAACTACAAACATGGTTACAGTTCATGAACTCTTCCTCAGGTGAAGGACAGGTTATAGTCGTCTCCTGGGCGAATTATGGTCGCCGTGACAACACCACGTGCCCTGATGGAAATTCTGATCACGTCAAAAATGTTCACTGTTCGAGTCCCAATAGTAGAGAATATGTAACTAACAGGTACAGATGCTGACTCTCTTTCCATCTTCTCTCAGATGACACGACGTACTTCAGTCCTCTGCTGACTCACCTTTGACCTGCATTCACAGGTGTAACTGGCAGAACAACTGTAGTGTTGGAACATCAAACACAGGGTTTGGAGACCCCTGTAGTGGCACCTACAAGAGTCAGGGTAAGTAACTCAAACAATAAAGTTATAAAAATAATATTTTAGGGTGTGTACATTCAGATTAATTTTTGAAGTAAATAGAAATGATAATCGTTCATCATTTTTGAAAGTTTAACCTGTCTCTGCTGAAAACACTGAAATCCTCAGACACAAAGTTGAAATGAGTTTTTTTGCAGATCCTAAATGATTGAAATCACATTTATGAAAAAAGATCTTGAGCATCATCTTTTATTAGCTTATCATAATATTTAGTTATTAAAATGTGACCTTTAGCAGAAGTTCAGGCCTTCACTATACGAGAAGTCTTGTCCCGACTAGGACCGTACCTCTATTACCTTACGCAGACCACTATGTGGTAACATTTTCTCCAACCGTAGCCTAGATCATAGTGATTCGTGTCGCAACATTTTTAGACAAGTTTATAATAAGTCAGACTTTAAAGCCCTTCCTTTTCCGAGAACTGTCCGTACTAGAAAATACGTATGTATAATCTGTGCGGACCACTTGGTTTATGAAAATCTTAAGTCCACTGGCTTAAACTCCCGGCTGGTTCCAATAAGATTAAACGATTAATTCTATACCCTCTAATCCCGTCACAACGCTTCGGTCGTTCTCAGAATGGATACGTTATGAATCTAAGATTTCACCTCTTGGGCTTTATCTCACCTACGGCAAAAGATATCACACGCGCTGCCGGTCATTATTAATTGGTACTACGTGTAATGACCTTGAATTTAACGAACCTGGGCTATAAGCTGTTGACTACAATTTGGCAGAAACAAAGTGCATGTTCCATCCAAAGTAGGAACATGGTTTGTGTCGAGTGCTCCACGGGAATTCTGGTGTGTTGATCAGTATGCTAGCTCAGAAGAGATTGGCTGGCTTTGATAGTTATTTAAACCTTCTAGACTCTTGTAAACAGCGATACTCACCCCCTGCCCCTAATTTTGCTGGGCGTTCGTCGAAGCTTCCAAAATCCCTGTGGCATCTGGTTTCTCATAACCTTTCTTTCCTAATATTGCAATAGATTTAGATTATTTGACATTCGAGAGTCCTTGATTAATTAGTACTCATCTCCTTTCACGTACGATATATCCAGTTATCACCTTGTTGATGATTCTTGAAACCGACTGCCTGAAGTTATTTGGTACACATTTCTTATGAAGATGCTGAATCAGTGCCCCCAGACCGTTGTGATGCTTAGCCTTGCAGCATGCCACTGAAGACTCGTGTCTGGAGTAAAGGAGTGTCATGGAGGTTGAAACGATAATCGATATACTGGCTCAAATCAGCTAATTCAAGGTGCTGTTAGCCTTCTACATTGTGGACGTCGAGTGTGTCCCAAAGATTGCTATGATAATTGGCAAACTCTGGGATGGTACTTATAGGAGAACGGATCCATCTGCTTTGGACTGGAGCAGCTTCATTCGAATATGGACAACTCATTTAGTTAACCCAATAGACTATCCAGAGTTAAGAGAAGCAGAGTATATTTAGCTCTTGTAGCCTCTCCTGCACGGCTACCCCCACACGAACGAACCATCTCCAGAGATGTTCATTCCATTTAACATGAAAAACAGACTAAACCAGCACAAATCACTTATAACAGCATTAGAAGAAAGACGGAATACATGAACCACACGTGAAAAGAGTCAAATATCTACTGCAAACCTGCCTGGATTATAAATATTAAAGGTCTCTAAACTCTAGCTTGTCACGACATGATTAAGTTATGTGTCACAATTATTACCATCCTTCGAAACTGGTGAGAGGACTGTTATGTAGTTAATGAATCACACCCGAGATCACCCGAAATCTCGCTAGGCCGAGGGGGCGGTGTGGCAGCAATTTTTCACACCAGCCTATTAATAACCTAAAGACCAAGACAGACTTTTAATTCATTTGAAAGCCTGATGCTTAGCCTCGTCCACCCCAGCTGTGAAACTCAGAAACCAGTCTTACTTGTTATCATCTATCGTCCACCTGGGCCTTACAAGAGTTTCTGTCTGATTTCTCAGACTTTATATCTAGATTTAGTTCTGAGCTCAGATAAAATAATTATTGTGGGTGATTTTAACATCCATGTAGATGCTAAAAATGACAGCCTCAACATGGCATTTAATCTGTTATTAGACTCAATTGGCTTCTCTCAAAATGTAAAAGAACCCACCCACCACTTTAATCACACTCTAGATCTTGTTTTAACATATGGCATAGAAACTGAACATTTAACAGTGTTTCCTGAAAACCCTCTGCTGTCTGATCATTTCCTGATAACATTTACTCGTTGGAACACAGCTGGAGTCAGTGCTTACATGATGTCCTTGTGGAGTTGAAAATAATCCACTTGTACTTGAAAAAACAAACAAACATGCAAACATTTGTTTCCACAGTCTTGAATTACAGTAATCCGTCTGAATGTTCCTGTACACTGACATATTGTGGTGGACCACTAGAGGGCTCCACTCACACCCAGTGTCGAGAAAGTGTGTTGTTGTGTTTTCTTGGCGCAATGATGGGCTGACCTTCCACCACCGTTGCCTACTGGTGGTGGTCAGAGGGCCCGGTGGCGCCAGTGTCCGGCAGCCTCGCCTCTGTCAGTGCGCCCCAGGGTGGCTGTGGCTACAATGTAGCTGCCATCACCAGTGTGTGAATGTGTGCGTGAATGGGTGGATGACTGGATGTAGTGTAAAGCAGTCGTAAAGCACTATACATACTAATACAGGCCATTTACCATTTTACCACATACAGGTGGAGTCAAAGTAGTGAAAAACAGCCAGTTCTACCAATAAATCATGAAAAGTAAGGTTTAAATTTTTGGTGAAAAATGTGTTCATGACAATGCAGACTGTACGTTGCTAGTATGTAGCTTCCTAGATTTTATACTTAAGGCACATAATTATTCATTTTACAGGCTGTACAGCACATGAAAAATGTTTTATTTGACTGTAATATTTAATTATGTGGGATAAATAGGGTTAGATAGGGTTAAATAAGAAATTTAAAGAGTATGCTTATATAAAACAAATTCATACTTACTCCATTTTATGTATTTTAAACATATTTAATAGATATTACAGAATGCAGATGGATATGTGAAAAGAAATGGCTTTGATTTTGCCTTCTTAAGTAAATTTCTCTAGATCAGCCCCTGCAGCACAAACCAGGGCAAAGTTCAAGCATTACGGAAGTTTCATTTCTCATATATTATATTGATTATACTCATATTTGATTAGAAGTTTATATATAATGAACTATTAGCAGAATCACATATAGATATATTGTTATAGCTATATTGTTATAAAGGCTGGATAGTTGTCCGTTATTTCACTCTTGGATGGAGATAAGCTGGGGGATGTCAATCTCTTTGACATGTTATATGAAACCATATTTGTCAATACATCCACCAGCAGTGATGGAAGTGACATCATCAATTCAGATCTGTCAGCACACGAAGAAGCAGTTACGGATCTCTGACACAAACAAAAGGTGTGTTGGTGTTACACCAGGCATCGTTGACATAATCCTGTCCTGTAAAAACGGTTCAAAATAAAGAAGAATAGAAAAAAAAAATCAGAGGTCTGTGCAGTAAATGTTTTCTTCTTTTCTAATGTAAAAGAAAAAAACAGTTCTGTTAAAGACCTAAGATTACATGATTTTAATTTGAATTAAAATAAAAATGGATTTCAAAAATGAACCCAGATTCAGTTGTACCTCCATTGTTTATCGTCATACAATCTTCTCTTCCTTTATAATCATTTGGCTCTCCTTTGGCCCAGTTTGGGAAGTCAAACTGGGAACCATCACTCCACATCCACATAGTTTCCTGAAAGAATAAAGTTTGAGGTCTAGGCAGCTTGGAAAGAAAAGCATTTAAGTTGCTTAAATGCTTGAAAGCAAGCAACTTAAAGAAGTCCAAACACTTTTCTTTCCAAGCTCCTTAGACTACGATGACCGGGATGACTGAGAACCCTCACAGAAATAAAGTTTGAGGTTCACTTTGTTCTGATGTACTTTGGTGCATTTATGCTGAGAGTGCAGACAAGAGCCCTCTACACTTGATGTCTGCTGCCAGCAGATACTCACTAGCAGCTCAAAGACAAATCTCAGTTAACACAAAGAAGAACACGACTAAGTCTTATATACAAAACACAGACCTGGATTTGACAAAATTATAAAATTTGAATCAAACTGATGAATATGAAGAGAAACATATGAAATATCAGAAACAGCTGCAGCTCATCCTCTTTATCTGTGAAACACTTACATTCTCTCTGTCGTTGCCTCCAACCCAAGCTGTTGGATACGACCCTGCTGCTGTGTAAATGAGCTCTCTGATGAAGGTGTACTCAGCTGTGCTGTGGAATGAGGCCAGATTTCCACCGAGTGTCTGACAGGAACTCTGAGGAGGAAGATGAGGTGCACAGAAGATGAAAAGTGTGAGAATGCATTTAAAATCAGTCAAAGACAGAAAGTCTTTATGTCATCAGTGATGCAGCGACAGCTGCTGTTATTTCCTGATGTACCTCAGCATCAGTCCAGGTCTTCAAGCTGCTGTTAACGATGAAACAGCGACCTCCAAACCAAGTCCAACCAGAAGGGCAGGAAGCATCTTCAAAATGATTGCAAAGTTAAAAGGTCAGTGAACAGATTAATGGTTCCTCAAAAGAAAGTAATTTCTCCCCATAAACTTCAGAACAGAAGATGAAGAATTTCATAACAGACATCTGTGTCATTATTTTTCATGTGTTCCTAATAAACTGTCAGTTGAGTACACGCCAAAGCAAAGCAGTCGATCATCTCATGTTAGAAGAAGCTGAGCTTGAACAATGACTTTCATATTAACGGCTGGTTAATTATGTAACTGACTAACTACATCAGTACGACACTGCCTGGGTCTTTCTAAGGCCTCAGGTTTGTACAGCTTGTTGTACTTGTTAGGCGTCCCATCACACTTCTCTGCAGTTCTGATAGTTGGGTAACTTCCCTCCTTTCTGCCTCTAGTTTTCGTCTCCACTGAGGCTTCTGTTCTTGTGTTCATCTGATATTCAAGGATCCCTGTTGCTGTGTAGATCAGCTGGCTGTTTGCAGTGATGGTCACAGAAGGGATTTTATTAGTGTGCGCTCAAATATCGGACTTTGTAGGAATGCTTCAGTGTTTTCACATTTAATTAGCAAATACAAGCACATTTTTGCTTTGCACACCGCAGAGTGAAGGCAAAGGACCAACAAGCGCTCAGCATCTCTGGGAACTCCTTCAAGACTGTTGGAAAACCATTTCAGGAGACGGCCTCATGGAGCTCATGGAGACGAGGCCAAGAGTGTGCAAAGCAGAAATCAAAGCAAAGGGTGGCTGTTACCAAGAATACACAACTCTTTTTTAATTCTCATCCATAAATAATGTGCATCTTTCACGTGATTCAGTTTATTTTGAAAAGTCTCAACAGGATCTTGAGCTTTATTGTGAAAGGTTTATGTGGAACATAAACAAGCGGACACGCGATGCTGTTACCGTCGTTGTTGCTAACGACAACACATAAAAACAGGCGCTTGTCCGTCCGTAGTGTGGTTATATTAAATATAAGAGAAAGAGAGAACTTTAAGAAATGAATATAGCCACTACAGTGACCATCAAACATGAACAAATATTGCCGTAAACCGTAACCACGAAACAAACGACACCGTAAAATGAAACGATCGACGTTTTTACATCATCATCCGATATATATCGTTATATCGAACAGCCCTAATTCTGTCTGTTTGATTTTTACTTGTATGTGTCTTTAATTTGGTCAGAGGACTTTATAAATTCTCCCTTTTAATGTACTTTTATTGCAAAATGTGTTCATCTCTCAACTTCAGATTGTTATTAAAGAACTGTTACACTGATTTACTACACCATCTTGTGGTATAAAGCGGTATCTCTGCCTTATCTTCAGTTGGTAAACACAACAGATGTTCTGTTCTCCACATTCTGTCGATGTTCAGGAAACATCAGCGAATAAAACAGAGACATTTTTTATTTACGATGTCATTTTCATTAGCTTACTTGATAAGCTAATGAAAAAATAATTCAAATTCAAAATTTCTTTGTATGGCACATTTAAGAACAACAGAGTTGACCAAAGTGCTTCACAATCAGTTAAAAACAAGAAAAAACTGTAGAGAAACAAATAAAGATAAATAAGAAGACAATGAATTAAATATAAAAACATAAAACAGGCCTGATTGTACTCATACTGAACTCTAACACTGCCTGTGAATGCAGAGTTCATAAGGTTGAGATTTTTTAATGAAGCGATTCAGTTTTCACAAAGTGGAAAGGAAGCCTGCATAGTAACAGTGGCACAGGGGTTAATAACAGAATTAAAACTAGAAAATGCATTTTCTGAAGAAACTGCAGCTTGGATGCTGATAGTTGAATGTTTTGAGTTGAAATGAAGCTGTTAAGTTAAAAATGTTGAAGGGGGCGCAGTATGAAAAGAAAAACAATAAAAGAATGCTTGGACACTGCTAGCATCGTGGACAGGTTGTTGACGGGGCTCCCGCACAAACGCAAAGCAGGAGATGAAGCATCGCTGAATATGTTTCCAAACCAACTTCATTCTAATTATAGCTACTCGCTGCCCTTAGGCGTGAATGTCGTCGTTGCGCTGAAGAAAATGGAGGAAAGACAAACTCCACGTCTCTCTGGACATCCTCCATAATTGCTTATCTAAGTATCAAAAGTCTGTTAAAGTATTCTTAAAGTATTTCTCTGAATAAAATCTCAGCTCTAAGGGCTTCTCATCCATCTCATTCATCATCAGTTTTAGACCCAGTTCCAGCCTCTGAATGCTTGACTGTCTTTCAACAGTTTGAGCCAGTGTCTTATTCTGCTTTAAAAGATATAATTGATCATCTCAAAATCTCTGGTTCCCCGCACGATATTCTTCCTTCTCGTTTCTTTAAGGAAGCTTTACATGTTATTGGTCCTTGTATCTTATCTCTGCTGAATGCATCATTGTCATCAGGTTGTGTACCGTCTGTCTTTAAGCATGCTGTTGTGCAACCTATTATGAAAAAGTGTCTGTGAAGGTTCTCAGTCATCCAGGTCATCGTAGTCAAAGGAGCTTGCAAAGAAAAGCGTCTGGACTTCTTTAAGTTGCTTGAAGACGTTTCACCTCTCATCCGAGAAGCTTCTTCAGTTCTAAGGTCAAATGGTGGAGAGTCCCAGATATAAACCTAGTGGGAGTTTCCCCCCACAGAGGGACAAAAGGACCCCTGATGATCCTCTAATCGCCTGAGCCAAGGTGTGAAACTGGGTGTGGGTCCCAACAGCCAGTTTCGGAGTTCACTTGGTCGGCTGATTAAGATTCAAGCTGACTTAATGATCATGTCATCAGAGCTTTGTCTCTGTCTTAAGCATGCTGCTTGTGCAACCTATTATGAAAAAGAAAAATCTTGACCCTAATGGTCTCACTAACTACAGGCCGATCTCCAAACTCCCTTTTATTTCCAAAATATTGGAAAAGGTAGTTCTAAAACAACTTCAGGCCTTTTTAGATGCAAATGGTATTAATGAAAGTTTCAGTCTGGTTTGAAACCTCGCCACAGCACAGAGACAGCCTTACTTAGAGTTTTTAATGATCTTCTTTTAACTGTTGACTCTGGTATTCTGTGGTCTTATTACTTCTGTCTGCTTTTGACACGGTTAACCACAACATTCTTCTATCAAGACTGGAACATGTTGTTGGTCTCAAAGGTACGGTTTTATCTTGGTTTAAATCCTACCTCTCAGAGAGGTCGTTCTCTGTTGCTATGGGGCAACACTCCTCGGCTTCTGCCCCTATTTATTGTGGTGTGCCTCAAGGGTCCGTGCTCGGTCCTGCTCTTTTCTCTTTGTACATGTTGCCGTTGGGATTAATTTTTAGAAAATACAACATCTCCTTTCACTGTTATGCTGATGATATCCAGATTTATTCACCTTTGAAATCCGATGTGTCTGCTTCTTTGCAACCTCTGTTCAACTGTTTGCATGAAGTTAAAATTTGGTTATCACATAATTTTCTTACACTGAACGAGAATAAGACGAAATCATAGTTTTTGATAGTCACACTCCGCCAGACCAGTTAGCTGATGCCTTAGGCCAGGGGTGTCAAACTCAAATACACAGTGGGCCAAAATTCAAAACTGGAACAAAGTCGCGGGCTAACATTAATATTTATTGAAAAAAAAAATCTTCCTCCAGATATAAGAATGAATCTTTTCTTATGGACTCAAACTAAGTTTTGCTGAAAAACTGAATATGGAACAAGCAAAGCTTAATACTAAACAATATATATATTAGCTGTATAATACCGTCAACCCGTTCTCACTCCCAAAGCGTAACATTTTACGCTAGGTGACAAATCGTCAACATATTACGTTTTCGGCTACCCACCACGTTCCTAAATGACGACCTCGGAAAAAGAGGAAATATGAGAACCGTCTGGACTGAACCTACACATGTTCGCTCTTTTTCTTCAAATCGCTTAGAAACACGCTATTTAACATCATTAAAGTCCTGGTTAAGGTCAGGAATAAGGTTATGGTCAGGGCTAGGGATAAGGTTAGGTTTAGGGCTGGAATACAGGGCTGGAACGTCTACTACCGCGGGAGCGTCATTGCACTGGATTCCAGCCATAACCCGCCGCGTACCCTAAGAACGCCGAAGGTCTCCTTTCGCGTTCCTCAGGAACGCCGCGGGACGTGACAAAACGTCGACATGTTACGCCTCGGGAGTGAGAACGCTCTGTACCAGTAGGCCAGCTCTAATAGTAATTTGGTATGGCTTCGTGGGCCAAATGTAATTAGGCTGCGGGCCAAATTTGGCCCGCGGGCCAGAGTTTGACACCTATGCCTTAGGCCCCTCACCAGCCTCTCGCTCACTGTAAGGAACTTGGAATGTAAATAAATTTTGATTTGATTTGCGCCTCTCTTTGCTGCTTTAAATAAACAGAAAAGTGCCCGAAACAAATCGCTCCCAAGAGAAAAGTAAAGTCTATTGACAAAATTCTTTCACTGCGAGCGACAGCAATGTCCAGTCTACCAAATCTCATTTTCATGCCTGTGGAGTTTATTAATATGGACTGTGACAGTGTAAAGACACCTGTATCGTGAAAAACATCATGAAACTTAAACTGGAACTGAAGAAAAAGTATAATAGATATTGAAAAGATAAATACAAGTTGAATAGTTCAGAATGTCTTGTGTTCGTTTTAAAGTTTGTGTCACTCTAGGTAAGTGGTTCCCAATCTTTTCTTGCTAGGCCCCCCTTTGTTTTACATGAACCCCCCCGCACAAAAAAATTCTCCAACCACACACACATATTTTGTTATCAAACTCCATTGCGGTTTATTTCACACCTCAAACATTTAGTAAACATTAAACAAATAAAAGTAAGCGTCCACACCTACACGCAGCTGTTTCTATGCGTTTGGGCCTTTCGTCCACACATAAATAAAATTATTGTTTACATGAGGTTCATTTCTACAATGGCGGATAGAGACAAAATACTGTTAATCTGACTATCTTCAGGTTTTACATGCTTACATACACACACGCAGTAACTGTCCCTTCATTTACAAAGGC